ATATATATATATATATATATATATATATATATATATATATATTATGATTCTGAGAGGAAAGGAGAGGGGAGAGAGAGATAGAAACATCAGTGATGAGAGAGAATCATTGATCGGCTGCCTCCTGCATGTCCCAGGGGGATTGAGTCCGCAACCCAGGCATGTGCCCTTGACCGGAATCGAACCCAGGGCCCTTTCATCTTCAGGCTGATGCTCTATCACTGAGCCAAACCAGCTAGGCCTGTAGCTATTCTTTATTGAGGTCCATTATGTAGTACTGGCATTGTGTGTCAGGAGTATTACACACATGCCACTAATTTAAATCTCCAAAAACATCCTGTGAGTTGAATACCATCATTCTTATTTTTCAGGTAAAAAAACCAAGGCTCAGAGATGGTAAGAAACTTGCGCGAGGACACACAGCCAGAAGTGGTAGAAACCGAAAGCATGCCGCCTTTTCCCATTGTTCCACACTGCTCCCTCCTCACGCTGACATACTGTCTTATTAAGGATGCCCCTCAGAGGGCAGTGTCTTTACTGCCACATCTTTGGCAAAGGGACAAGGGAAAGCGTGGCTCTTGTTTTGTTTTGTTCTATGACAGGAAAAAAGGGCCGGAGGGAAAATAAGGATCTTTCTCCCAAGATGTGGTAACAGGTATTTAGAGTCAGCAAACGTCCCAGGGCACACAGAACTTGAGAACTGAGGAGAGCAGAGAGTGAATTTCGCCTGTGCCTCAAAAGCCTCCACTTCTGATGGAGGGCGCACTTTTTTATTGAAGTTACCCCAGCCTGACACCTCTGCCCCAGCCGTTATGTGTGCCCAACAGAAGCCAACACAAGGTGCTTTAATTTGTGTTTGGCTGGGTCTTGTGCTTTGTTTTTTTACTTTGAAAATTTTGAAATAATGTGTAGATTCTGTGTTTTGGTTTGAACACCATTCTTCACAGCGTCAAGAAGCTTGCCATCCCTGTGACACAGCCCTCTCTCCCTCCTGTCCCCCTCCCCACCTTCCCTGTCCCTGTCCCCATCAGAAAAGGCAATACAGCCAAGTAAGCTGACGCTCTCTGCACTCAGGGATCTGTCCCTCCTCCTAGATGGAAAGTCCTGCTGAGGCCACATCACACACACCTCCCATCTGAAACTCTTAATGCAATGGAAGGATGGACCACAGCCAATAATCTTTAAGAAGGTTACGTACAGGAGGAGGGAGGGAATGAAGTGATAGGAATACAGATGGAAGTAAAACTCTGCATATAACTGTTTGAAAATAGATTGACTTAGGAATCATGTAAATTTTTACAGAATTAAAAGCCAAAATTTAAGAAAAGATAATCTTAAAAAGCAATCTGTAACAGCTGAAAGCAATGTGAAGCAAAAGAACCCAACTGCATGTCAAGTTGATGACATGACTACACACATAAAAGGAGTGAGTTCAAGTGACTTTAAAGAAAACATCTTGGCTGTTTATCCCCTTTGGGTTAGAGCCTAAGGTCAAAGCCAAAACCATAACAACATAAACCATAAGAAATAATAATAACATAAACCATAGGAAATAATAATATTGTTATACTTCACAACTTTGGTATGTACACTATAGGATAAAATAAATAAGAACTTACAGTAATGAATGAGGAACCAAGACTTCTTTTAGTGTAAAAGAAAATATGTACAAGTATAAAACTGAATAACTTAAGTAACAACCTTGAAGTGTTAAAGTTGAATTGAAGATATATCATGATTTATTTTTGTCTCTTTAAAAAACATTTCCTATCTCTCTTCACTAAAAACAAACAAACAAAACTAGAAGTAAAAGCAGTCTGGTAGTAAAGAGAACATCAATATTGCCATTGTGGTCTTTAAAAACCACACAAAAAATGTAAAACTCTATATGCAGAGTGATTATTATCTAAAACCAAAAAAGAAAGAAAATGACGTAGGTCAGAAATGTGGAGCTACATAAAGAAAGGAAAAGCATCAGAGAAGGAATAAAGTCAGGTAAAACATCCATCTTTTCTTATTCTTTTAAAAAATATATATATCTTTATTGATTTCAAAGAGGAAGGGGATCAAGCCTGAAACCCAGGCATGTGCCCTTGAGATCAAACCTGGGACCCTTTAGTCCGCAGGCTGATGCTCTATCCACTGAGCCAAACCAGCTAGGGCTCTTTTCTTATTCTTAATCTAAAGATAACTTTGTTTAAAGTAATAATAGTAACAATGTGTTGAGTCATTATAGCATATGAATAAGGTAAAAGAATGATAGTAATGTCATAAGGGAAGGAAGAGAAGAATGGGAAATTTTCTATTATAAGATACTAGACTACATATATAATGGTGTAGTGTTATTTGAAGGTTGAATTAGATTAGTTGTAAATGTATATTGGAAACTCTAACCATTATCATATTTGTAAGAAAGAACCATAATTCTTTTTTTTTTTTTAGAAAGAACCATAATTGATATACGCAAGAGAGGAGATAAAATGGATTCATGTAGAATACTCAATTAAATCAGAGAAGGCAGGAAAGGGGAGAAACAAAGAATAATTGCAATAAATAGAAAACAGTTACAAACATGGTAGATACTAATCCAACTATATGAAAATAACTTAAATGTTAATGGTTTAAATTCACCAATTAAAAGATAAAGATCATGAGAGTGGATTTTAAAAGGTCCGGCTATATGTTATATATAAACATTTTACTTTAAAATATACTTTTTTATTGATTTTAGAAAGGAAGTGAGAGGAAGTGATAGAAATATCAGTGATGAGAGAGTCATTGATCGGCTGCCTTCTGCACACCCCCTACTGGGGATCAAGCCTGCAACCTGGGCATGTGCCCTTGACCAGAATCAAACCCGTGACCTCTTGGTTCATAGATTGATGCTCAACCACTGAGCCACACTGGCTGGGCTAAAAATTTTACTTTAAATACAAAGATTCAGATAGCTAGAGAGGGTTATACCATGCTGACACTAATCCAAAGAAAGCTGGAGTATTAATTTCAGACAAAGCAAATTTTATAACAAGAAATATTATGAGAGATAAAGAGATACTACATAATGATAAAGGAGTCATTTCTCTAAGAAAACATACAATTCTAAAGGTGGGTACACCTACCAACAGAGTGTTAAAGGACATGAGGCAAAAAGTGATACATTTGAAAGGAGAAGTAGATAAATCTACTATTATATTTGGAGACCTTGACACTCTCTTTCAGTAATTATAGATTAAGGAGGCAGAAAATCATTAAGGATATAGTTGACCTGAACAGCACTATCAATCAACTTAATCTAATTGACATTTATAGAATACTCCATTCAATAATAGCAGAATACACTTTCTTCTCAATATCCCATGGAAGAATAGACCACATTTTGGACCATAAAACACCCTTCAACAAATTTAAAAGAATAGAACTCATACTAAGGATATTTTTAGACCACAGCAGAATGAAACTAGAAATCAATAAGAAAACTGGAAACCTCAGGATGTTTACAAAGTCAACAGCACATCTAAATAACACATGGCTCAGAGAAGAAGTTTCAAGGAATTCCTTTGTCTATCAACTGAGAGAGACGATGGCAATGACACCCCAGAAATGATGAGCACACCGAGCACTCTGCTCTTGGTTTCTAATACTTTTCCAGTAAAAGGTACCAGGGCTCCATGGGGAAATGGTTGATTCTAGGGGTGTGGCAGGAAATACATAAAATGAGACTGGAGCATCTTATAGCATCAGAAAGTAAGAAAGCACTCAAAGAAAAAATAACCCTCACAGACATATGAAAACATGCTCAAAGTCACTAATCATCCGAGAGATGCAAATCAAAACGACAATGCGGCACCATCTCACACCTGTCAGATTGGCTACCATCAACAAATCAACAAACGATAAGCGCTGGCGAGGATGCGGAGAAAAAGGAACCCTCGTGCACTGCTGGTGGGAATGCAGACTGGTGCAGCCTCTGTGGAAGACAGTATGGAGTTTCCTCAAAAAACTAAAAATGGAACTCCCATTTGACCCAGTGATCCCACTTCTAAGAATATATCCCAAGAAACGAGAAACACCCATCAGAAAGGATATATGCACCCCTATGTTCATAGCAGCACAATTCACCATAGCTAAGATTTGGAAACAGCCTAAGTGCCCATCAGTAGATGAGTGGATTAAAAAACTGTGGTATATCTACACAATGGAATACTACGCTTTGGTAAAAAAAAAAAGGAGTTCTTACCATTTGCAACAGCATGGATGGAACTGGAGAGCATTATGCTAAGCGAAATATGCCAGTCAATGAAGGAAAAATACCACATGATCTCACTCATCTGTGGAATATAATGAACAACATAAACTGATGAACAAAAACAGATCCAGAGACAGAGAAGCATCGATCAGATAGTCAAACCTCAGAGGGAAGGTAGGGGAGGGTGGGGGTAAGGGGGAGAGATCAACCAAAGGACTTATATGCATGCATATAAGCATAACCAATGGACACAGAAAACAGGGGGGTGAGGGCATGAGTGGGAAGTGGGGGGGGGACAATAAGGGGATAAGGACACATATGTAATACCTTAATCAATAAAGAAAAAGAAAATAACCCTCACAGCAATAAGGATATGTCAAAGGGATAGGAGTCAACTGAAAGAACTCACAATGGCTAAAGCTGAAATAATGAGAGCAAGAAAATAAAGCAACACTTGATCACAATACAAAATACAAAATAACTATCCACGAATCCACACTGAAATAAATAAGTGATTAAATACATAAATAAATGGAGAGAATAGAAAAAGTTCCCATGCAGAATTCTCAATACTTTATGTGAACAAAAGGAGGCAGAACATAGCTCCCACTCCTTTAGGATGGACTTATGTTTAAT